TATATATACAGGGTGTGTCAAAAGTCTGGAACATACACAATAACTTCGCCATTTGTAGTTTTAAAGAAAAATGTTTCAAATGCAAGTTTCTTTATTAATCATGGCGCATTTTTTGGCAATATTTGCTTGTTTGTATTGTTTTTTGTTTCGTTGCTATGGCAACCAACATTGTTATTTTAAATGGGATGCATATATTTTTTTGCGTACTTTGATAGAGGATAAGTCCCTCTATGCGATAAACATATCAAATCATATGGCTGTATAAGAAAAAAATCGAGAAAAAATGCGTTTTTTGAAAGTATTAAATCAGCTAATTACAACCAAAGTAGGCGCCGAAATAACGCATTTTTTCTTATACAACCATATGATTTGATATGTTCATCGAGTAGACGGATTTATCCTCTATTAAAATGTGCAAAAAAACATATGCATTCCATTTAAAATAACAATGTTGGTTGCCATTGCAACGAAACAAAGAACAATGTAAACAAACAAGTATCGCCAAAAAATGCGCCACAATTAATAAAGAATTTTTTATTTGAAACATTTTTCTTTAAAACCACAAATGGCGAAGTTATTGGCTATATTCGAGGCATTTGACACACCTGTATATACAGGTGTCCCACGTAAGCAACAAAGTACATAAATGGCATTAAGGAGCCGAGATACCCAGTTCTTTCTTAAACAAAAGTTGTAGGAAATTTATCACACTATAAACGGAAAATATTTTTATACTTACAGGGTGTTCCATAACGACGCACCGAAATAAACATAATGTTATTTTAAATGGAATGATATAGTTTTTATTGCGTATTATATCTAGTGCGACTGATCGAGCTAGAAAGTTAAAATTTGTACCAGTTACTGCTTGGATATCCTTAAATAGAGCGAAATTGGCTACATCGGTCTATCTTACACAGGGTGTTCAAAAATGTAACTACTCTTTTACCAGTAGAGAAGAAGCAGGGAATGTAAAATGTTACCAGTAACAAAGAATGATAGATTTTATTTATCTTTTCTATTAGCATTCCATGAAATATATGCATTTGACAGCTTACAAGTGATGCTGCCATAATTGTTTGTAATTTCACAGGTGGTAAGCGTTGACTTGATCCAAATTAAAAAAAAATAACAAGTTAACGATGACAAATTAAACGAATTTGCTTGATTATGAATTACACAAAAGACAAATTTGTAACCATGGTTTTTATTTTGCTACAATGTCAACGAAATACTCGTCTTGCTCAAAGAATATATCGTGAAAGATACCCAAATACCCAAACTTCCGAGCAGGCGATGTTTCGATAATGAACTGTGTGGATTTGAAGATGTTGGAAGTGTCGACATACCTAAACGTCGAAAAGACGTTTTTCAAAACTTTTTAAATATTGGATATATGGAAGACATTGGATTGGTCGTGGAGGTCCAATACCGTGGCCAGCAAGATTACCTGATCTAACTGCCCGCGACTTTTTTGGGGATACGTCAAAACCCAAGTGGTACGCTAATATTCCAACGACGAAAGAAAATATGAAGAATAGTATAAGAGGAAGCTTTAGAAATATCTCTGCTGAAACACTAGATCATGTGCAAGCCGAATTCGTAAATCGGCTTCATCTATGCATAAAGCATAGATGGTAGATATTTGAACACTTATAAATAAAGTTTGGTTTATCGTCCTGTTTCATGGCCTACTAATGAAAAAATGAACAAGATCTGCCATTCTTTGCATGATATTGATTAATTCCACAACCTGATTAACTAGTCAAATATGGGGTGTTCCATTTAAAATTTTCGACTTCTTTACAATTGAATATGGTAAAACAGTAGTTACATTTTTGAACACTCTGTATAAGATAGACCGATGTAGCCAATAGCACTCTATTTAAGGATACCCAAGCAGCAACTATCACAAATTTTAACTTTCTAGCTCGATCAGTCGCCAAGAAATTCAGATTTGAAAGGCACAGTGTTAATTGCTAAAAAAAGCTTCTAATTAAAATAACTCAAAAACTAAAAGCACTAGGTATCAACAAGTCTTATCAAACTCAACTTAGTTTTGTGTGTAGAATCAGAATACGCAATAAAACTACATCATTTCATTTAAAATAACATATGTTTATTTCGGTACGTCGTTATGGAACACCCTGTATGTATAAAAGTATTTTCCGTTTATAATGTTCTAAATTTCCTACAATTTTTGTCTAAGGAAGAACTGCGTATCTCGGCTCCTTAATGCCATTTATGTACTTTGTTGATTACGTGGGACACCTGTATATACAGGTGTTTCAAATGTCTGGAATATAGCCAATAACTTCGCCATTTGTGGTTTTAAAGAAAAATGTTTGAAATGCAAGTTTCTTTATTAACCATGGCGCATTTTTTGGCTATATTTGCTTGTTTGTATTGTTTTTTATTTCGTTGCTATGGCAACCAACATTGTTTTTTTAAATGGATGCATATGTTTTTTTTGCACATTTTAATAGAGGATAAACTCCTCTACACGATGAACATATCAAATCATATGGTTGTATAAGAAAAAAATCGAGAAAAAATGCGTTATTTCGGCGCCTACTTTGGTTGTAATTAGCTGATTTAATACTTTCAAAAAACGCATTTTTTCCTCGATTTTTTTCTTATACAACCATATGATTTGATATGTTTATCGCATAGATGGACTTATCCTCTATCAAAGTATGCAAAAAAATATATGCATCCCATTTAAAATAACAATGTTGGTTGCCATAGCAACGAAACAAAAAACAATACAAACAAGCAAATATTACCAAAAAATGCGCCATGATTAATAAAGAAACTTGCATTTGAAACATTTTTCTTTAAAACTACAAATAGCGAAGTTATTGGCTATATTCCAGACGTTTGACACCCTGTATATAGTATACAGGTGAGTTTTATTATAAACATTTCGGGAAAGATCGCTTCAGAATAATGTATCCTACAACCGTATAATCCTCTGATGCGGAAAATACGGGACACGCTGTATAGATATTCCATACATAATGAGCACCTGTATTGGCCTGTATAATTATTTGTTTAAAAATGCGTTGATTTATGTTATACTGCTCACAGGGAAATTAAAATTTTAGTTTATCAAAAAATGTTATTAATAAAAGTTGTTTCTAATATAACTCTCAACAAATATTGTTTATAAAAAAATTCGATACGATCAATAATTATAATGATATGCCAACAATATACCATCGTACTGTTCAGTGGGAAATTAAAATTTTGTTTTATAAAAAAATTTAATAATAAAAGTTGTTTCTAATATGATTCTCAACAAATATTGTTTATAAAAAAATTCGATACGATCAATAATTATAATGATATGCCAATAATATACCATCGTACTGTTCAGTGGGAAATTAAAATTTTGTTTTATAAAAAAATTTAATAATAAAAGTTGTTTCTAATATGATTCTCAACATATATTGTTTATAAAAAAATTCGATACGATCAATAATTATTATGATATGACCATGATATAAAAGCGTACTATTCAGTGGGAAATTAAAATTTTGTATTATCACAAAATTTTATTAATAAAAGTTGTTTCAAACCTAATTTTTAACAAATATTGTTTATAAAAGAAATTAGTACGGTTAATAATTATTGAAATAACCACAAAAATATTCAGTTTAATACTAGTGTGTAGCGTCATGTGGTAACATTTTTTGATAAAAACAAAAACATTGCTTAGAAATGCCTTATTTTTTGCTAGTACTGGCACGGATCACCGTTTAGCCAGATCCGCCGGATCATTCGTTATTTTTTGCAAGCATTAGCCAAAAAAGAAAAGACAAAACTGTCTACAAGTGAACCCAAATCTTTATGGCAATACTATAATGATATCATTGGTACTGCTTCTTCATCATCAAACCAAGCCAATGAAGAAAAAACTGCTATTTGTGGCAAATAGTGCAAATTAATGCATTTTTGAATTTGCCTATAAAAGACAGATGTTCTCATCTAATTGTTTGGTGGAAAATAAAAATAGTTCGAAAGTATTTGTCAAGCTCTGCAAGTATCGTTTATTGCGAATGCACATTTTCTGAAATGGGAATAATTTATGAATACCGCCATTCTAGATTAACTAATATTAACGTTCATTTATTCGTTCTTTCATTTCTTTTAAAATAGCTTTTTCTACATAAAGTTTCCGTTTGGAATGCTAGTTTTGAATCATCCTTTATATAATACATAAATTTTATTTACGTCGGATTTTCGTGCCACCCCTATTGTTTGCTATATTGTTNTAGACAAGTTTTAATTTCTGTAATAGCTAAAGAAGGCATATACAAATAGATTGATAGTATTAATTTTATAGTTTATGGGTATTGCATTTTTTTAATTTTGTCGCGCTAGAATCACCAGCTGTCCCACTGTGCGCCGGATCATTTGTTATTTTTCGCAAGCGTTAGCCAAAACAAAAAAAAAGAAAAAACTGTCTACAAGTGAACCCAAATCTTTATGGCAATACTGTAATGATATGAAATAATGATAAGAAAAAACTGCTATTTGTTGCAAATAGTGCAAATTAAAGCATTTTTGAATTTACCTATAAAAGACAGATGTTCTGATCGAATTGTTCGGTGGAAAATAAAAATAGCTCGAAAATATTTGTCAAGCTCTACAAGTATCGTTTATTGCGAATGCACATTTTCTGAAATGGGAATAATTTATGAAGACCGCCATTCTAGATTAACTACTATTAACGTTCATTTATTCGTTCTTTCATTTCTTTTAAAATAGCTTTTTTTACATAAAGTTTCCGTTTGGAATGCTAGTTTTGAATCTTCCTTTATATAATACATAAATTTTATTTACGTCGGATTTTCGTGCCATCCCTATTGTTTGCTACATTGTTCACATGGTTTTATCACAAAATACTATTAATAAAAGTTGTTTGTAATCTAATCCTCAACAACCAATAATTATTAGGATAATTATATACTTAGGTACATTTTTTTAAATTTTAGGTAAACCCGAATTTAAATATATAGCAAACATGCATGGTAACGAAGTGGTCGGAAGAGAAATGCTTTTACTATTCATTAAATATCTTTGCGAAAATTACGGCTCAAACGAAAGAATCACAAAGTTATTAAACACAACCCGAATCCACATAATGCCATCTATGAATCCCGATGGTTACGAAAAAGCCAAGGAGAACCGTATCAATTCAACAAATTCTCCTGCAAGTGGTAGGGAGAATGCTGCCGGGGTTGATTTAAATCGAAATTTTCCAGATCAATATTACCAAAATGAGGTAAACAAATTTATTTAATAAAAAAAAAATTTTAATATTTTTTTTTAGTACAACTCAATTCTCCAACCAGAAACGAAAGCTGTAATGAATTGGATCCTATCAGAACAATTCGTTTTATCGGCAAATCTTCATAACGGTGCTTTGGTCGCAAATTATCCGTTTGATGATTCCCCACCGATTAAATCGGGTTTACCTCAAACTCACAAACAAGAAAATTTATCCCCGGATGATTCCGTTTTTAAACATTTAGCGTTAACTTATTCAGACGCTCATAAATCGATGCATTTTGGGCGACCTTGCCCGACGTTCCCCAATGAAAATTTCCAACATGGGATCACAAACGGAGCTGAGTGGTACAGCGTTTCTGGAGGTATGCAAGATTGGAATTATTTAATCGCCGGTTGTATGGAGTTAACGTTAGAGATTGGGTGCGAAAAATATATCGATGAATCTCAACTTGCTTCGACTTGGCTTGATAATCGCGAAGCTTTATTAAGTTACGCGGAACAAGTTCACCGAGGCGTTTCTGGGTTTGTTTTTAGTACAATTGGGAGAAAGATTTCTCAGGCGGAAATTATCGTTGAAGGGATTAACCACGTAGTGCATTCCGGTATTGAAGGAGATTATTACAGAATTTTGCTCCCCGGGAAGTATAATTTAACGGTGATGGCCCGTGGGTATGAAAGTTATACAGAAGCGATTGAAATCCCGGAAGCCACGGGACATTTACAGTTCAATGTGTCGTTGATGAGAGATGATCCAATGCATTGGGCGTCTGCTTACGATTTTGGATTATCAGCGAATCAATATAAACCGAAATATCATACAGACAGTGAGTTGTATTCGTTGATGGCGGAAATGGAGAATCGATATCCTAATTCGGCGGAATTTGAAGCAGGAGAGGATGATGTTTCAATGGTTATTAGGAGTGTTAAGATTACTGATGATGTAAGTATAATACAAAGTGAAAATATTAAGCAATTATGTTTTTAGGTAAATTTGGAGTGTTTTTCATTCAAGTCATTAATTCTCATCATTTCTACTTTTCGAGATATAATTTAATTTGATGATACGAAATCCTGCGAATTTTGGCGTTTTATAATAAGATGTGATAGGTTAAAATTATCAACGGGTTATGTTTTTAGGTTAATTTGGAATATTTTTCATAGAACTTATTAATTTCCATCGTTTATACCTTTCGAGATACAACCTAATTTGATGATATCAAAAAGCTTGAATTTGGCGTTTTTGATTTCTATTTTACAAGTTGATGAGTTGTGTTGGGTTAAAATTGTTAACGGGGTATGTTATTAGGTTAATATGGAATGTTTTTCATCGATGTTATTAATTCCCATCATTTCTATTTATTGAGTTATAACCTAATTTGATGTCAAAATCATTCAAATTTGGATAATTTCGATTTTAACTTTACAACGTAATGATGCGTTGTGGTGGCTTAAAACTATTAATTGGATTATGTTTTTGTTTTGATATGGAATGTTTTTCATCTAAATCATTAATCTCCATCATTTCTATTTATTGAGTTATAACCCAATTTGATGTCAAAATCATCCAATTTTGTGTATTTTCGATTTTAACGTTACCACTTAATGATGCGTTATGGTGGCTTAAAACTATTAATTGGACTATGTTTTTAGGTTGATATGGAATGTTTTTCATCCAAATCATTAATCCCCATCATTTCTATTTATTGAGTTATAACCCAATTTGATGTCAAAATCGTCGAATTTTGGGTATTTTCGATTTTAATTTTACAACTTAATGATCCGTTGTGGTGGGTTAATACTATTAATTGGATTATATTTTTAGGTTGATTTGGAATGTTTTTCGTCTAAATTATGAATCCCCATCATTCGTATTTATTGAGTTACAACTCAATATGATGTCAAAATCATCCAAATTTGGGTATTTTCTATTTTAACTTTACAACTCAATGATACGTTGTGGTGGGTTAAAATTATTAATTGGATTATATTTTTAGGTTGATTTGGAATCTTTTTCATCTAAATCATTAATCCCCATCATTTCTATTTATTGAGTTATAACCCAATTTGATGTCAAAATCGTCGAATTTTGGGTATTTTCGATTTTAATTTTACAACTTATAGATACGTTGTGGTGGGTTAAAATTATTAATTGGATTATGTTTTTAGGCTGATTTAGAATCTTTTTTATCTAAATGATTAATCCCCATCATTTCTATTTATTGAGTTATAACCTGTAGCGCATCACGCACTCTTATAATTTTTATATAGAAACATCATGTTATATCACCATGGGTTGTCGACCCAACCCGTTGCTTTCTTTTCAAAAAAGTTATCACCTAGTCAAATAAATTACTCAACTTTTGATAGGGAACTTTTAGCTATTTATTCATCTATTAAATATTTCAAACATTTTTTATACGGCAACCAATTTACAATTTACACTGATCACAAACCGTTAGTTAATTCCATTCATTCCAAATCAGATAAAACACCAAGACAAACACGTTATCTTCATTATATATCTCAATTCNGATTAAAACTATTAATTGGATTATATTTTTAGGTCGATTTGGAATCTTTTTCATCTAAATCATTGATCCCCATCATTTCTATTTATTGAGTTATAGCCCAATTTGATGTCAAAATCATCCTAATTTGGGTAATTTCGATTTTAACTTTACAACTTTAGAATGCATTGTGGTGGATTAAAACTATTAATTGATAACGTTTTTAGGTTGATTTGGAAACTTTTTCATCTAAATCGTTAATCTCCATCATTTCTATTTATTGATTTATACCCCAATTTGATGTCAAAGTCGTCGAATTTTGGGTAATTTCGATTTTAACTTTACAACATTATGATACGTTGTGGTGGGTTAATATTATTAATTGAATTATATTTTTAGGTTGATTTGGAATGTTTTTCATCTAAATCATTAATCTCCATCATTTCTATTTATTGAGTTATAACCCAATTTGATGTCAAAATCATCCAATTTTGTGTATTTTCGATTTTAACTTTACAACTTATAGATGCGTTGTGGTGGGTTAAAACTATTAATTGGATTATGTTTTTAGGCTGATTTAGAATCTTTTTTATCTAAATGATTAATCCCCATCATTTCTATTTATTGAGTTATAACCCAATTTGATGTCAAAATCGTCGAATTTTGGGTATTTTCGATTTTAATTTTACAACTTAATGATCCGTTGTGGTGGGTTAAAACTATTAATTGGATTATATTTTTAGGTTGATTTGGAATCTTTTTCATCTAAATCATTGATCCCCATCATTTCTATTTATTGAGTTATAACCCAATTTGATGTCAAAATCATCCAAATTTGGGTATTTTCGATTTTAACTTTACAACTTAATGATGCGTTGTGGTGGATTAAAACTATTAATTGATTACGTTTTTAGGTTGATTTGGAATCTTTAACATCTAAATCATTAATCCCCATCATTTCTATTTATTGAGTTATAACCCAATTTGATGTCAAAATCATCCAAATTTGGGTATTTTCTATTTTAACTTTACAACTCAATGATACGTTGTGGTGGGTTAAAATTATTAATTGGATTATATTTTTAGGTTGATTTGGAATCTTTTTCATCTAAATCATTAATCCCCATCATTTCTATTTATTGAGTTATAACCCAATTTGATGTCAAAATCATCCAATTTTGTGTATTTTCGATTTTAACGTTACCACTTAATGATGCGTTATGGTGGGTTAAAACTATTAATTGGACTATGTTTTTAGGTTGATATGGAATGTTTTTTATTTAAATCATTAATCTCCATCATTTCTATTTGTTGAGTTATAACCCAATTTGATGTCAAAATCATCCAATTTTGTGTATTTTCGATTTTAACGTTACCACTTAATGATGCGTTATGGTGGGTTAAAACTATTAATTGGACTATGTTTTTAGGTTGATATGGAATGTTTTTTATTTAAATCATTAATCTCCATCATTTCTATTTGTTGAGTTATAACCCAATTTGATGTCAAAATCATCCAATTTTGGGTATTTTCGATTTTAACTTTACAACTTATAAATGCGTTGTGGTGGGTTAAAATTATTAATTGGATTATGTTTTTAGGCTGATTTAGAATCTTTTTTATCTAGATGATTAATCCTCATCATTTCTATTTATTGAGTTATAACCCAATTTGATGTCAAAATCTTCCAAATTCGGGTAATTTCGATTTTAACTTTACAACTTAATGATGCGTTGTGGTGGGTTAACACTATTAATTGGATTATATTTTTAGGTTGATTGGGAATGTTTTTCGTCTAAATCATTAATCACCATCATTCGTATTTATTGAGTTATAACCCAATTTGATGTCAAAATCATCCAAATTTGGGTATTTTCTATTTTAACTTTACAACTTAATGATGCGTTGTGGTGGATTAAAACTATTAATTGATTATATTTTTAGGTTGATTTGGAATCTTTTTCATCTAAATCATTAATCCCCATCATTTCTATTTATTGAGTTATAACCCAATTTGATGTCAAAATCATCCTAGTTTGGGTAATTTCGATTTTAACTTTACAACTTTATAATGCGTTGTGGTTGGTTAAAACTATTAAATGGATTCTGTTTTTAGGTTGATTTGGAATCTTTTTCATCTAAATCATTAATCCCCATCATTTCTATTTATTGAGTTATAACCCAATTTGATGTCAAAATCGTCGAATTTTGGGTAATTTCGAATTTAATTTTGCAACTTAGTAATGCGTTGTGATAAGTTAAAACTATTAATTGGATTATGTTTTTAGGATAATTTGGAATGTTTTTCGTCTAAATCATTAATCTCCATCATTTCTATTTATTGAGTTATAACCCAATTTGATGTCAAAATCATCCAATTTTGGGTATTTTCGATTTTAACTTTACAACTTATAGATGCGTTGTGGTGGGTTAAAACTATTAATTGGATTATGTTTTTAGGCTGATTTAGAATCTTTTTTATCTAAATGATTAATCCCCATCATTTCTATTTATTGAGTTATAACCCAATTTGATGTCAAAATTATCCTAATTTGGGTAATTTCGATTTTAATTTTACAACTTTAGAATGCGTTGTGGTGGATTAAAACTATTAATTGATTACGTTTTTAGGTTGATTTGGAAACTTTTTCATCTAAATCATTAATCTCCATCATTTCTATTTATTGATTTATAACCCAATTTGATGTCAAAGTCGTCGAATTTCGGGTAATTTCGATTTTAACTTTACAACTTTAGAATGCGTTGTGGTGGATTAAAACTATTAATTGATTTCGTTTTTAGGTTGATTTGGAAACTTTTTCATCTAAATCATTAATCCCCATCATTTCTATTTATTGAGTTGTAACCCAATTTGATGTCAAAATCTTCAAATTCGGGTAATTTCGATTTTAACTTTACAACTTAATGATGCGTTGTGGTGGGTTAACACTATTAATTGGATTATATTTTTAGGTTGATTGGGAATGTTTTTCGTCTAAATCATTAATCACCATCATTCGTATTTATGGAGTTATAACCCAATTTGATGTCAAAATCATCCAAATTTGGGTATTTTCTATTTTAACTTTACAACTCAATGATACGTTGTGGTGGGTTAAAATTATTAATTGGATTATATTTTTAGGTTGATTTGGAATCTTTTTCATCTAAATCATTAATCCCCATCATTTCTATTTATTGATTTATAACCCAATTTGATATCAAACTCGTCGAATTTTGGATCATTTCAATTTTAACTTTACAACTTTAGAATTCGTTGTGGTGGATTAAAACTATTAATTGGATTATATTTTTAGGTCGATTTGGAATCTTTTTCATCTAAATCATTGATCCCCATCATTTCTATTTATTGAGTTATAACCCAATTTGATGTCAAAATCATCCTAATTTGAGTAATTTCGATTTTAATTTTACAACTTTAGAATGCGTTGTGGTGGATTAAAACTATTAATTGATAACGTTTTTAGGTTGATTTGGAATCTTTTTCATCTAAATCGTTAATCTCCATCATTTCTATTTATTGATTTACAATCCAATTTGATGTCAAAGTCGTCGAATTTTGGGTTATTTCGATTTTAACTTTACAACTTTATGATACGTTATAGTGGGTTAAAATTATTAATTGAATTATATTTTTAGGTTGATTTGGAATCTTTTTCATCTAAATCATTAATCCCCATCATTCTTATCTATTGAGTTATAACCCAATTTGATGTCAAAATCATCCAAATTTGGGTAATTTCGATTTTAACTTTACAACTTTATGATACGTTGTGGTGGGTTAAAATTATTAATTGAATTATATTTTTAGGTTGATTTGGAATCTTCTTCATTTAAATCATTAATCCCCATCATTCGTATCTATTGAGTTATAACCCAATTTGATGTCAAAATCATCCAAATTTGGGTATTTTCTATTTTAACTTTACAACTCAATGATACGTTGTGGTGGGTTAAAATTATTAATTGGATTATATTTTTAGGTTGATTTGGAATCTTTTTCATCTAAATCATTAATCCCCATCATTTCTATTTATTGATTTATAACCCAATTTGATGTCAAACTCGTCGAATTTTGGATAATTTCAATTTTAACTTTACAACTTTAGAATGCATTGTGGTGGATTAAAACTATTAATTGGATTATATTTTTAGGTCGATTTGGAATCTTTTTCATCTAAATCATTGATCCCCATCATTTCTATTTATTGAGTTATAGCCCAATTTGATGTCAAAATCATCCTAATTTGGGTAATTTCGATTTTAACTTTACAACTTTAGAATGCATTGTGGTGGATTAAAACTATTAATTGATAACGTTTTTAGGTTGATTTGGAAACTTTTTCATCTAAATCGTTAATCTCCATCATTTCTATTTATTGATTTATACCCCAATTTGATGTCAAAGTCGTCGAATTTTGGGTAATTTCGATTTTAACTTTACAACTTTAGAATGCGTTGTGGTGGATTAAAACTATTAATTGATTACGTTTTTAGGTTGATTTGGAAACTTTTTCATCTAAATCATTAATCTCCATCATTTCTATTTATTGATTTATAACCCAATTTGATGTCAAAGTCGTCGAATTTCGGGTAATTTCGATTTTAACTTTACAACTTTAGAATGCGTTGTGGTGGATTAAAACTATTAATTGATTACGTTTTTAGGTTGATTTGGAATCTTTAACATCTAAATCATTAATCCCCATCATTTCTATTTATTGAGTTATAACCCAATTTGATGTCAAACTCGCCGAATTTTGGATAATTTCAATTTTAACTTTATAACTTTAGAATACATTGTGGTGGATTAAAACTATTGATTGGATTATATTTTTAGGTTGATTTGGAATCTTTTTCATCAAAATCATTAATCTCCATCATTTCTATTTATTGAGTTATAACCCAATTTGATGTCAAAATCATCCAATTTTGGGTATTTTCGATTTTAACTTTACAACTTATAGATGCGTTGTGGTGGGTTAAAATTATTAAATGGATTATGTTTTTAGATTGATTTTGAATCTTTTTCATCTAAATCATTAATCCCCATTATTCCTATTTATTGAGTTATAGCCCAATTTGATGTCAAAATCATCCTAATTTGGGTAATTTCGATTTTAATTTTACAACTTTAGAATGCGTTGTGGTGGATTAAAACTATTAATTGATAACGTTTTTAGGTTGATTTGGAAACTTTTTCATCTAAATCGTTAATCTCCATCATTTCTATTTATTGATTTATAACCCAATTTGATGTCAAAGTCGTCGAATTTTGGGTAATTTCGATTTTAACTTTACAACTTTAGAATGCGTTGTGGTGGATTAAAACTATTAATTGATTTCGTTTTTAGGTTGATTTGGAAACTTTTTCATCTAAATCATTAATCCCCATCATTCGTATCTATTGAGTTATAACCCAATTTGATGTCAAAATCATCCAAATTTGGGTATTTTCTATTTTAACTTCACAACTCAATGAAACGTTGTGGTGGGTTAAAATTATTAATTGGATTATGCTTTTAGGTGGATTTAGAATCTTTTTCATCCAAATCATTAATCCCCATCATTTCTATTTATTGAGTTACAACCCAATTTGATGTCAAAATCGTCGAATTTTGGGTATTTTTGATTTTAGTTTTACAACTTAATGATGCGTTGTGGTGGATTAAAACTATTAATTGATTACGTTTTTGGGTTGATTTGGAAACTTTTTCATCTAAAGCATTAATCCCCATCATTTCTATTTATTGATTTAAATAACCCAATTTGATGTCAAAGTCGTCGAATGTTGGGTAATTTCGATTTTAACTTTACAACTCAATGATACGTTGTGGTGGGTTAAAATTATTAATTGGATTATATTTTTAGGTTGATTTGGAATCTTTTTCATCTAAATCATTAATCCCCATCATTTCTATTTATTGAGTTATAACCTAATTTGATGTCAAAATCATCCAAATTTGGGTAATTTCGATTTTAACTTTACAACGTAATGATGCGTTGTGGTGACTTAAAACTATTAATTGGATTATGTTTTTATTTTGATATGGAATGTTTTTCATCTAAATCATTAATCTCCATCATTTCTATTTATTGAGTTATAACCCAATTGGATGTCAAAATCATCCAATTTTGGGTATTTTCGATTTTAACTTTACAACTTATAGATGCGTTGTGGTGGGTTAAAACTATTAATTGGATTATGTTTTTAGGCTGATTTAGAATCTTTTTTATCTAAATGATTAATCCCCATCATTTCTATTTATTGAGTTATAACCCAATTTGATGTCAAAATCGTCGAATTTTGGGTATTTTCGATTTTAATTTTACAACTTAATGATCCGTTGTGGTGGGTTAATACTATTAATTGGATTATATTTTTAGGTTGATTTGGAATGTTTTTCGTCTAAATCATTAATCCCCATCATTCGTATTTATTGAGTTTCAACTCAATATGATGTCAAAATCATCAAAATTTGGGTATTTACTATTTCAACTTTACAACTCAATGATACGTTATGGTGGGTTAAAATTATTAATTGAATTATATTTTTAGGTTGATTTGGAATCTTTTTCATCTAAATCATTAATCCCCATCATTCGTATCTATTGAGTTATAACCCAATTTGATGTCAAAATCATCCAAATTTGGGTATTTTCTATTTTAACTTTACAACTTAATGATGCGTTGTTGTGGGTTAAAACTATTAATTGGACTATGTTTTTAGGTTGATATGGAATGTTTTTCATCTAAATCATTAATCTCCATCATTTCGATTTATTGAGTTATAACTCAATTTGATGTCAAAATTATCCTCTTTTGGGTATTTTCGATTTTAACTTTACAACTTTAGAATGCGTTGTGGTGGGTTAAAACTATTAATTGGATTATGTTTTTAGGTTGATTTGGAATCTTTTTCATCTAAACCATTAATCCCCATCATTTCTATTTATTGAGTTATAACCCAATTTGATGTCAAAATCATCCAAATTTGGGTAACTTCGATTTTAACTTTACAACTTAATGATGCGTTCTGGTGGACTAAAACTACTAATTGATTATGTTTTTAGGTTGATTTGGAAACTTTTTCATCTAAATCATTAATCTCCATCATTTCTATTTATTGAGTTATAACCCAATTTTATGTCAAAATCATCCAATTTGGGTATTTTCTATTTTAACTTTACAACTTAGTTATGCGTTATGATTGTTTAAAACTATTAATCGATTATGTTTTTAGGTTGGTTTGGAATCTTTTTCATCTAAATCATTATTCCCCATCATTTCGATTTATTGAGTTATAACCCAATTTGATGTCAAAATTATCCTATTTTGGGTATTTTTGATATTAACTTTACAACTTAATGAATCGTTGTGGTGGATTAAAACTATTAATTGATTACGTTTTTAGGTTAATTTGGAATGTTTTTCATCTAAACCATTAATCCCCATCATTTATATTTATTGAGTTATAACGCTATTTGGTGTTATCAAAGTCGTCGAATTTTGGGGTGTTTTCAATTTTTATTTTACAACTTAATCAATTGTGTTTATCTAAAACGATTAATGCTTTATGTTTTTGGGTTAATATGGAACGTTTTTCATTCAAGTTATTAATTCCCATGGTTTCTACTTTTCGAGATATATTCATCGAATTTAGGCGGTTTTTTAATTTTTATTTTACAACTTGATAAGATGCGATGGGTTCAAATTATTAACGGATTATATTTTTAGGTTAATTTGGAATGTTTTTCACCTAAAGCATTAATCCCCATCATTTCTATTTATTGAGTTATAACCCTATTTGGTGTTATCAAAATCGTCGAATTTGTTTTTTAATTTTAATTTTACAACGTGATGAGATGTGATGGGTTAAAATTATTAAAGCATTATGTTTTTAGGTTGATTTGGAATGTTTTTCATCGAAATCATTAATCCCCATCATTCCTATTTATTGAATTATAACCCAATTTGATGTTTTTTCTTTCCAGATTAAAAACAACGACGAATTAAAATACCACGTCGCAATAATCGGGGGTTTATTCGCCACGCAACCCATCGGGCGAGAACTTTCCATTTACTTAGCGCGTCATCTCCTCCAAGGTTATCAATATCAAGACCCCACAATCGTCTCGTTACTAAAAAACGCTGTTTTCCATATCATCCCCCTCATCGACAACGGCTTCGATTCAATCTGGGGGGATTACCCGAAAGAAGTGCCCGGAAATCGCCGTCCTGACTCGTACCAATGCCAGAACATTTCCGCCGATTTCAAACAAGTGGGCGATCTCATTTTAAACATAGGGAATAAGAACGTGAACGGGGGCGCTCAAACGAGAATTTCAAACGCGTTCAAACGAATGTTATTAGAAGAGAATTTCGATTTTATAATTAACTTTGAGGGTGGTAGCAAAGGGATCGTTTTCCCTGAGGTTAAAAGCAACAAAGATATTTTCAAATTTTTCGCCGGGGAATTTACCAAAAATCAAATCGACGAAAGTTGCGTTAATTTAATTCAAGCAACTGACGATATTATCACGGACTATATCTTTAATGAGTACAACACAGCTTTATTCACGGCCAAAGTGAGTTGTTGCGAATACCCCGCGATCGAGAATGTACCTTACATTTGGCGCGAAACTTTAGAATCAATCAAAAACTTTTTGAGCATCATCAAAACGGGGATTCAAGGATTTGTTAAGGATCTAAACAATAATCCTTTATTAAACGCAACGATTACAATCAAAGATATCCCGAAAATCTATGAAGTTACGAAACCTTCGGGGCATTTTAAAGTTATGCTACCACCCGGAGAATACACCATAATCGTTGAGGTACCTCAAGCGCATCGAAAAATCATTACGGTTTTAATCGATAAAGATAACATCTTCGAATTAAACGTAACATTTAGTGGGGATGACCAACTGGTTATTAATAAATCTGACTCGAAAATTGAATCAAATATTATAAAAAATAATTTCAAAAATACCGCAAATCATAATTTTATTGGAATCAAAGGATTTGTTGCCGACAAATCAAACCAACCGATTCCAACCGCAAAAATATTTATTTCCGAGAAAAACTTGACCCTTACTGTCGATAAAAACGGTTCCTACCAGACGAATTTGACGTCGGGGAAATACACCGTTGAAGTATCCGCCCCGAATTATTACAAAAACGTTAAATACGTCGAAATTAATAATGTCACTTTGGTACCGAAGATGGTTATGTTCACATTGGAGAGGAATGAGAAAGTTTTGGGGCTTCCAAGGTTGGTGTTTACGTTGCTAACGGGAACGCTGATTGTGATCGGGTTGGGTTTAGCTGCTTTTTGTTACGTGGCTTGTAAAAATAGGAAAGGTTATGGGCTGGTGGCGTCTCAAGAACAGGATAGCTTATTTGGTAAGTTTAAAATTATAATAAAATTTTGTGATAAAACAAATTTGTGAATGATTATTAATTACGTTTTATCGAAAAGTGTTATTTTATTAAAATATTTTGATATCTCCACCAAGTGTGGCGCTATATCCTGTTATAATAGTGAATATTTTTGAGGTTATCTCAATAATTATTTATGATACAAAACTTTTTTGTTTACAACATTTGTATAGAATTAAATTACGCATAACTTTTATTAATACCATTTTTTAAAATAACGCAATTTTGATTTCTCTGTGATCTTTACGTATACAGTGCTTCCCAAAAGTAACGGATAAATTCGTTAAAACAATAAAAAACAGTTTAAGTGGTTCAAACAAAGTTCCCTATAAAAAAACGAAATAGTAAATCTCTTCAAGTACTTATTTATGTTCTAAAATGAAATTTTAAAGCAACTCAGTATCAAAATGGTAGTATTTTTAACAACACTTTTTAATGGCTGCCTAAAAAATGGATTTTTCCTGTTAAATGGAAGCATGCCCAAATCGTATATTTTCCGAAACCAGGAAAAAATCACAAACAAGTAGATGCTTATCGTCCGATTAGCTGACTGGTCATTCAAAGCCGACTGAAAACAATTATTGACAGAAAAGAGTATCCCGCCGTATCAATTTGGATTTAAAACGAATCATTCAACGTGCCACCAACTGCAAAGAGTTACTGAAGTCGTATGCAAATGAAAATTCGATACAATCAATAATTATTATGATTATTATGTTCAGTGGGAAATTAAAATTTTGTTTTATCACAAAATTCTGTTAATAAAAGTTATTTCTAATCTAATTCTCAACAAATATTGTTTATAAAAGAATTCGATACGGTCAATAATTATAATGATATGACAACAATATAAAAGCGTACTATTCAGTGGGAAATTAAAATTTTGTTTTATCACATAATCCTTTTAATAAAAGTTGTTTCTAATCTAATTCTCAACAAATATTGCTTATAAAAGAATTCGATACGATCAATAATTATTATGATATGACAACAATATAAAAGCGTACTATTCAGTGGGAAATTAAAATTTTGTTTTATCACATAATTCTGTTAATAAAAATTGTTTCTAATCAAATTCTCAACAAATATTGTTTATAAAACAATTCGATACGATCAATAATTACAATGATATGACAACAATATAAAAGCGTACTATTCAGTAGGAAATTAAAATTTTGTTTTATCACATAATTCCGTTAATAAAAGTTGTTTCTAATCAAATTCTCAACAAATATTATTTATAAAACAATTCGATACGATCAATAATTACAATGATATGACAACAATATAAAAGCGTACTATTCAGTGGGAAATTAAAATTTTGTTTTATCACATAATTCCGTTAATAAAAGTTGTTTCTAATCAAATTCTCAACAAATATTGTTTATAAAAAAATTCGATACGATCAATAATTATAATGATATGACAACAATATAAAAGCGTACTATTCAGTGGGAAATTAAAATTTTATTTTATCACATAATTCTTTTAATAAAAGTTGTTTCTAATCAAATTCTCAACAAATATTGTTTATAAAATAATTCGATACGATCAATAATTATTATGATATGACAACAATATAAAAGCGTACTATCCAGTGGGAAATAAAAATTTTGTTTTATCACAATATGCCGTTAATAAAAGTTGTTTCTAATCAAATTCTCAACAAATATTGTTTATAAAATAATTCGATACGATCAATAATATTTATGATATGACAACAATATAAAAGCGTACTGTTCAGTGGGAAATTAAAATTTTGTTTTATCACAAAATTTTTTTAATAAAAATTGTTTCTAATCTAATTCTCAACAAATATTGTTTATAAAAGTATTCGATATGACCAATAACCATTTCGATAACTTCAAAAATATAAATATACATAGCGGAATATAGTCGATTTGAAATTACGTTTTAAACAAATGTTATATGAAACATTTTTTTGATAAAAACTAGTGATGGAACGGACAGCGATTTTGCGAAAAGCCGGATACCGGATATTCGGCATCCCCTTCGGCCAGATATCCGGTTATCCGGCATATCTATCCTACCATTATGCTTATAATTTCTGGTGCATTTCTGAAGTGATACCCTATATTGCCACATTATTGCGATATTTGAATAAAAATGAAACTAATAAGAAAGCTGTGTCAATATTTGGATCCAAGATACAAAATGAACTTTTTTGATACTGATTTAACTAACGAAGCAACTCTAAAAAGAGGATACGATAATTAATAATTGGTGATATTTAGAAATTAATTTTGTAGCGAATTTTGAAAGTTATCGATGAAAATTGCAACATCGAAAATTTTATCAAAACTTCAAATATTGTTTTCTCAAAAACTAAAAGGTATTTTTCAAAATGGGTTGGTTCATTGGAAAGAGACACTTTTATTAACACTTTGGGAAATTTTCATACTCATATTTCTAGAACAGGTTTTTATACGAATTTTTAAAACTTAATCGACGAAAATTGCAATATTCGAAAAAATTGTCGATCATTTCAAAAATTTATTTCTCAAAAACTAAAAGCGATTTTTCAAAACGGCTTGTTGCAGTAAAAAGAGGATACTTTAATTAATAATTGGTGATATTTCCACAAGGATCCTTCAAGAAATGAATTTTATAGCGAATTTTGAAAGTTATCGATGAAAATTGCAACATCGAAAATGTTATCAAAACTTTAAATATTGTTTTCTCAAAAACTAAAAGGTATTTTTCAAAATGGGTTGGTTCATTGGAAAGAAGACACTTTTATTAACACTTTGGGAAATTTTCATTTTCATATTCCAGGAAGTGTATTTTATACGAATTTTTAAAACTTAATCGGCTAAAATTGCAATATTCGAAAAAATTGTCGATAATTTCAAAAATTTATTTCTCAAAAACTAAAAGCGATTTTTCAAAACGGTTTTTTGCATTAAAAAAGGATACTTTTATTAATAATCGAAAGTGATAACAGCGACAGTTCTATTATTAATGAATGTGATGATTTGATGATGAATTACAAGCGAAGAGAAGAATACTAGACGAAACTGCAACAAGAGATTTTATATATCGTATTGGGATTGTTACAATGAGGTTGCTAATGATAAATAAAGTTGTATTCAATGAAAAAGTCCTATTGGGGTTGAACTTGATTATTATCTGTACTGTCCAAAGAAATTGTATATATAGAAGCCGCATCGCCTATGTTCGCCCGTATACCGGTTTGAAGCCAACGCAAGGGCATTTGTTTGCAAACAAAATAGACCTTGGTCCTAGCGACAGTGGCGTGTACGAATTAGATGAAATTGGTCAGACTTTATCCAGTGGCGTATCCAAAGAGCATCCTAATTTCATATATAAAATTACAATCACAAATTAATTGTTAAACTAACTACCAATTGAAAAGTTATTGCCGTAATAATTTTATAAATTGTAGAATGAATTTTTTTCTATATCTTTGTCAAGTTTTAATAAGATTTTAAAGTATTAAACACAATAAATATAATCTTGTAACCTTTTAAATTAATCAGAGGACCTAGAAACAATATACATATGTACTTGGTAAACGATACAAGTATGTACTATTTTGATTGTTAAGTTCTATTTCTAACTAAAAGTAGTAGTATACTAAATGTATAAATATATATAAATAAAAATGAAGAAAAACGAATCGAAAGAAGAACGACTTTGAAGATTTATTGATTCGCAAATAGGATTCGTTATTTTAGTGTATGTCTTATTCTAGGGGCTAAAATAATATTCGGGAGTGTTCGGCGATAATCGGCCGATGGTCCGATCTGTGCACGTTCATTGTTTCAACTGGTTTCGACAAAGGTTGTTAGTAAACAAACCGCGTGTTGCGTTGGCTTCAAGTTTTAATGTTTACAACTGCTTCTATATATACAATTTCTTTGGTACTGTCTAACACCTACAAGAGATACTAATAACTGTGAATGGTGGAGTACTAAATAATAGGTTTTTAATATCCGGCCAAAGCCGGATATTTGGTAACTATCCGGTATCCGGCCGAATTTTAAAAAATTGCCGGATAGGCCGGATACGGGATAGTTGCCGGATATCCGTTCCACTACTAATAGAACCTATAATTTAAAACGTACTGTTCAGTGGGAAATTAAAAGTTTGTTTTATCATAAAATGCTGTTAATAAAAGTTGTTTCCAATCTAATTCTGATCGAATATTGTTCATAAAAAAGTCAAAATATATTCATTTGAAGCCAAGCAATATACAGCAATAGCTTTCCTGGATTTCGCCCATGCGTTCGATAAAGTCTGGTTCGAAACTCCTACATCTAAAACTATCATCATATTTATTATTCTCATTTCTTGAAACACGAACGTTCCAAATCAAAGTAAACAACGAACTGTCAAGAATAAAAACTATAAGAGCTGGAGTACGTCAAGATAGCGTATTATCATAGCAACTGTCTTAGGAATGATATCGACATTTGCAGACGATACAGCCATAATTAGCCAGAACAATAATGGTACTAATACAACTGAGTCACTACAAAAAGATATCGATATCATAAACCCATCTACAACACAATTAAAGATGTACACACTACGAAGATTCCGACAGCTGCCAGTGGTATTAACTAACAATCAGGCTGTAGAATGGTCAAGAGAAGTTGTTAAATATCTTGGAGTTAAACCAAGTAGCTGAATGCAGCCAAGAGGAAAGGAAAGTAAAAAACTTTTTAGTTAAGAGAAAGCAATTGGCAAAAAATCCAATCTATCTTGCTGCAAATATTTCTAAATCCAAATTTTAATGGAATTCATCTTAGCTATTCCAAGCCCAAATGAGTCGGCAGAAGTAATGACAGAATTGGCCCTTAAGAGTTGTTTGGAAAACTATATATTTAAAATCCGTGCAAAAACTACCGTTGTATGGTGAAAAGTTTTGAGTTGACTTGTTTTGGGTCGCTACTTTACTTAGTAGCGGTCAAGATACTAAGTATGCCTGCGTCGAGTGCAGCAACAGAAAGAAGCTTCAGCACCTACAGATTTATTTACACTCCATAAGTCCTCCGCAGTAATTAATCCCATAAATATGAACCATGCTACGTTACAGCCGTCAGAGTGAATTTGCCGAGCTTCAAAAAAACATTTCAAAATCGAGGTTGTATCTTTTTGCCAATAACTGCAAAACGATTCGTTTAATCAAAAATTTGTGAACAGCCTGTATAGCCTTGGTCTGTATTTACATATTTTCAAAAGTGATCTTAAACGATTTCTCATGCACTATTTGCCAAATTTTATCTTTCTATGACAAACCATATTGAAGATATTTAAGAAAATGTTTAAAAATTTCTTTAGTTTGGTTTAGACCAAACATTTTTACACGAATCGTCGTCATTTTGACTCTAATAGTATTTGTAATTAAAATTATGCCACGACTTACATAAACAATCAGTATAACAATTCAGAAATGTATTAATAATATTTTTTGTTTAGGTGATGATAAACCGATAATTAGACCATATTTCGACGACGACGACGAAGATTATTTCGATAAAGGATCTTTAAGCAGTTCGGAAGAGGACGAAATCGTATTATTACAATCACCAAATTATCAAAAAACGCCTTTGGTGAAGACCTGAGAGACCCATTAATTAATCGAAAACTTACTTCAATAAAATTAATTTAATTAAAATTAATTTACCGTAAAATGAAGACTTAAAAGATAATGTTGTTTTAAGTCAAAAATTAATTTAACGAAAAAGAGAGACTACTAAAGCAATCTCAGAAAGTGATACAATTCCAATTTTTTTAAATCAAGAAAAAACATTTTTGACGTAATTTTGTATTGATATTTTTTTCTTTAATATTAAGAGATATTTTTATGAAATATTCTGCACCTCGAAAAATGACGAACACAGGGTTGTGAAACAGCTGTGCTAATAGATTTTAAGCTATAATTATTAAGATAAGAGAAAAAATAATGATATTAGTATTAAAATTATATATATGCTATTATTATTGTTACTATTTAAGTTTAATTAAGAAATATCTTACAAGGAATCGTTTGAATTGCTTTCCTTGTTATTTTCTTTTAAGGAGATAATAAAATATTATTTTTTGAAGCACTCTAAATTTTTGTTTTTATTAATAACAATTCTAATTTTTTCGTATAAATCGTTTCTTAACTATTGAAAATGCAGTTGGATGACGTATCAGATAAGTTTTGAATTTAGAATTGAAATTTACCGCCATCTATAACTGTATACCTTCTATTAAAACGAAAAGTACCTCCTCAACATCATCTACTCCTACTATAAATATTCTTTGTTGCAACCAAAACTTGAAACAACTTGGAAACTTTAAAGGTTGGATTTTTGGAGTTTTGTATTAAGATCACATAATACTGAGGTGGTTAATTATTCCTCACAATTGTATCAGGAGATTTGATAAAATTGAACTATAGGATAATAGATGTCTATTACACAATGACATAACAAATCACACAAAAAGTTTTTTTTGTTATAAGAAGTTTTTAAACTTATTTGTATTTAATTTCTTAAAATTGAAAATAAATTTCAATATATTGTAATCAATTTTAACAATTCAACTTAGAAAAAAATTAAAAAATAAATTAATTTAAAAATGTATCATGCGCCATCTATTATCTAAGATGCTTAATCTTATAGAAAAGAAAACTGCTTTCATTCTTGGTCAAATTATGAAGTGTAAATTACCTCCTCGGTATTATGTGTTCTTAATCTAAAGACGAAAATTTCAATTCTGATTGCTTGAATTCCGAAACGTACGGAAAGCGGTACTCGGTAAAATTGTGTTTTTAACCATAGTACAGAATAATTTTATTAAAAACATTATGGTTTATTATTACTATAACGTGTGTGCTGTGTCCTCATGTATAAATTTGACAATTCCAATAAAAATTCAATTAGTATGATTGATGTAAATCAATGTAAATGATTTTCCGTTTATATATAAATTTCATACTTCCTCACTTAAACATCTTTTTCGGGAAATTTTTATAATTCTACCCTAATGTTTTTGTATCTTATCATAAACTACACTGTGTTAATTAATTATCCAAGGTCCATTGAGTATTGGTTATACAGTATATTTACTCAACGGACCTTGTTAATTATCGTACTCGACGTCATCATTGTAAGTATGCAACCAAACACACAAATCGCAGATTGCAATACCTATACTGTGATATTGGTTGTATACTTGCAATGATGACGTCGGGTACGATAATTAATTAACACACTGTACATTCTTTTAGCTTCAATTTAAGATATAAACCATTTCTTAACACTTAAAAATGCAGTTGGTAAGATTTTTTTTAAAAAATTATTTTTTATTTATACAGGGTAATCCAAAAAACGCTGACAAACTTCTAGAGTAGATAATACATAAAAAATTAAGATGAAATCTTAATATAAGATCTTTTTTTCATATCTCTTAAAAATACAAATAGTGCGATTTTTTTTTAAATAAATTTTATATTTATATATAAATTTGACGATGTCTCACTTAATAATTTTTTTCGAGAAATTTTTATAATCCTACCCCAATGTTTTTATATCTTACCATACACTACATTCTTTCAGCTTCAATTTAAGATATAAATCGTTTCTTACCTCATACAAATGCAGTTGATATGATATTTTGAAAAAATTGACTTTCCGTTATGTATAAATCTGACACATCTCCATTTAAAATTGTTGTTTTCGGAAATTTTTATAATCTCACCCCTATCTTTTTATATCTTATCATAAGCTACAATCTTTTAGTTTCAATTGAAGATATAAATCGTTTCTTAACTCTTAAAAATACAGATAGTGCGATTCAAAAAAAAAAAAATTTTCTATTTATATATAAATTTGACAATGTCTCACTTAATAATTTTTTTCGAGAAATATTTATAATCCTACCCCAATGTTTTTATATCTTATCATAAACTACATTTTTTTAGCTTCAATTTAAGGTATAAATCGTTTCTTAACTCCTAAAAATACAGATAATGCCATTTTTAAAAGAAATAAATTTTCTATTTATATATAAATTTGAGAATGTCTCAATTAATAATTTTTTTCGATAAATTTTTATAATCCTACCCCAACGTTTTTATATCTTATCATCAATTACATTCTTTTAGCTTCAATTTAAGATATAAATTGTTTCTAAACGCTCACAAATGCAGTTGATATGATTTTTAGAAAAAATTTACTTTCCGTTTATGTATAAATTTAACACATCCCCACTTAAATTGTATTTTCCGGAAATTTTTATAATCTTATCCCAATGTTTTTATATTTTATCATAAGCTACAATCTCTTAGCTTCAATTTAAGATATAAATCATTTCTTAACTCTTAAAAATACAGATAGTGCGATTTTTTTAAAAAATAAATTTTCTATTTATATACAAATTTGACAATGTCTCGCTTAATAATTTTTTTCGAGATATATTTATAATCCTACCCCAATGTTTTTATATCTTATCATAAACTACATTCTTTTAGCTTTAATTTAAGATATAAATCGTTTCTTAACACTCACAAATGCAGTTGATATGATGTTTAGAAAAAATTGATTTTTCGTTTATGTTTAAATTTCACACATCCCCACATAAATTGGTTTTTCCGAAAAATTTTATAATCTTACCCCAATGTTTTTATATCTTATCATAAGCTACAATCTTTTAACTTCAATTTAAGATATAAATCGTTTCTTAACTCTTAAAAATACAGATAATGCGATTTTTTTAAAAAATAAATTTTCTATTTATATACAAATTTGACAATNTCTATTAAAAACATTATGGTTTATTATTACTATAACGTGTGTGCTGTGTCCTCATGTATAAATTTGACAATTCCAATAAAAATTCAATTAGTATGATTGATGTAAATCAATGTAAATGATTTTCCGTTTATATATAAATTTCATACTTCCTCACTTAAACATCTTTTTCGGGAAATTTTTATAATTCTACCCTAATGTTTTTGTATCTTATCATAAACTACACTGTGTTAATTAATTATCCAAGGTCCATTGAGTATTGGTTATACAGTATATTTACTCAACGGACCTTGTTAATTATCGTACTCGACGTCATCATTGTAAGTATGCAACCAAACACACAAATCGCAGATTGCAATACCTATACTGTGATATTGGTTGTATACTTGCAATGATGACGTCGGGTACGATAATTAATTAACACACTGTACATTCTTTTAGCTTCAATTTAAGATATAAACCATTTCTTAACACTTAAAAATCCAGTTGGTAAGATTTTTTTTAAAATATTATTTTTTATTTATACAGGTAATCCAAAAAACGCTGACAGACTTCTAGAGTAGATAATACATGAAAAATTAAGATGAATAGTCTTAATATAAAATTTTTTTTTCATATCTCTTAAAAATACAGATAGTGCGATTTTTTTTAAAAATAAATTTTCTATTTATATACAAATTTGACAATGTCTCACTTAACAATTTTTTTCGAGAAATATTTATAATCCTACCACAATATTTTTATATCTTATCATAAACTACACTCTTTTAGCTTCAATTTAAGATATAAATCGTTTCTTAACTCTCACAAATGCAGTTTATATGATATTTAGAAGAAACTCATTTTTCGTTTATGTTTAAATTTGACACATCCCCACTTAAATTGGGTTTTCCGGAAAATATTATAATCTTACCCCAATGTTTTTATATCTTATCATAAGCTACAATCTTTTGGCTTCAATTTAAGATATAAATCGTTTCTTAACTCTTAAAAATACAGATAGTGCGATTTTTTTAAAAAATAAATTTTCTATTTATATACAAATTTGACAATGTTTCACTTAACAATTTTTTTCGAGAAATATTTATAATCCTACCCCAATGTTTTTATATCTTATCATAAACTACACTTCTTTTAGCTTCAATTTAAGATATAAATCGTTTCTTAACTCTCACAAATGCAGTTGATATGATATTTAGAAAAAATTGATTTTTCGTTTATGTTTAAATTTCACACATCCCCACATAAATTGGTTTTTCCGGAAAATTTTATAATCTTACCCCAATGTTTTTATATTTTATCATAAACTACAATCTTCTAGCTTCAATTTCAGATATAAATCGTTTCTTAACTCTTAAAAATACAGATAGTGCGATTTTAAAAAAAAATAAATTTTCTATTTATATACAAATTTGACAATGTCTCACTTAATAATTTTTTTCGAGAAATATTTATTATCCTACCCAATGTTTTTATATCCTATCATAAACTACATTCTTTTAGCTTTAATTTAAGATATAAATCGTTTCTTAACTCTCACAAATGCACTTGATATGATATTTAGAAAAAATTGATTTTTCGTTTATGTTTAAATTTCACACATCCCCACATAAATTGGTTTTTCCGGAAAATTTTATAATCTTACCCCAATCTTTTTATATCTTATCATAAGCTACAATCTTTTGGCTTCAATTTAAGATATAAATCGTTTCTTAACTCTTAAAAATACAGATAGTGCGATTTTTAAAAGAAATAAATTTTCTATTTATATGTAAATTTGAGGATGTCTCAATTAATAATTTTTTTCGATAAATTTTTATAATCCTACCCCAACGTTTTTATATCTTATCAAAAATTACCTTCTTTTAGCTTCAATTTAAGATATAAATCGTTTCTAAACTCTCACAAATGCACTTGATATGATATTTAGAAAAAATTGATTTTTCGTTTATGTTTAAATTTCACACATCCCCACATAAATTGGTTTTTCCGGAAATTTTTATAATCTTATCCAAATCTTTTTCTATCCTATCATAAGCTACAATCTTTTAGCTTTAATTTAAGATATAAATCGTTTCTTAACTCTTAAAAATACAGATAATGCGATTTTTTTAAAAAATAAATTTTCTATTTATATACAAATTTGACAATGTCTCACTTAATAATTTTTTTCGAGAAATATTTATAATCGTTTCTTAACTCTTAAAAATACAGATAGTGCGATTTTTTTAAAAAATAAATTATCTATTTATATACAAATTTGACAATGTCTCACTTAATAATTTTTTTCGTGAAATATTTATAATACTATCCCAA